AAAAAAAAAAAAAAACACTAACCAAATTATTCTTTATTATTGCAGTAACAGAGATATCTGGGCTGGGGCAACAGTGGCTCACACCTGTAATCCTAGCTACTCAGGAGGCTGAGATCTGAGGATCATAGTTCAAAGCCAGCCCAGGCAGGAATGTCCATGAGATTCTTATCTCCAATAAACCACCAGAAAACTGGAAGTGGTATTGTGGCCCAAGTGGTAGAGGGCTAGCCTTGAACTGAAGAGCTCAGGGACAGTGTCCAGGTCCAGAGTTCAAGCCCCGCAACCATCCAAAAAAGAAATGAGGCTGGGTGCCAGTGGCTCACACCTGTAATCCTAGCTACTCAGGAGGCTGAGAGCTGAGGATCGCAGTTCAAGGCCAGCTCAGGTAGGAAAGTTCATGAGACTCTTTATCTCCAATTAACCACTGAAAACTGGAAGTGGCGCTGTGACTCAAAGTGGTACAGTGCTAACCTTGAGCAAAAAAGCTCAGAACAGCACCCAGGCTCTGAGTTCAAGCTTCATGACTGACAAAAAACAAAAACGAACTCAAAAGAACAAGTAGCACAGAACTCTCAGATGCCCACGGACATTCTCTGTGCAGATAATGTTCCTGATAAGACAAAAGCTGAGAGGCAAAGCCTTACCCCTGGGACTGAGGCCATGCTGCTCATCTGGACAGGGTGGCTCATGGGGGAGGCAGCACGTGGACCCATCGGTGCTTGTGGCAACTGGACATTTCCCAAAGACATTGGGTTAAATGAATTCATCCCTATAAACAGTGACATTTCATTAGGAAAAACCACCACAGAAAACAATTACAACTCATTAAATGCTAAGATGGAGCACAGTCAAGTATATGACAGTCAAGTGAGTGGAACCCACTCAACTGAAGAACAGACTTTTCCCTACCCAGGGGAAATGGCATTCCCGTGACAGGGGTTGCATAGGAGGGCTGGGAGCAAGTCAGGAAAAAAGACACTAGAGCAGGTCAGGATGAAGCCAGGTGACATGTTCAAGAAACCAAAGACACAAAGCAAGCAAGGATACTGTGAAGCAAGAAGATGCTCTTCTCATCTATGAAGACAGCTCAGAAGGCCAGACTCTCAGTGAACCCCATCCTCAACAACCACTGGAGCATCAGGCTCCCAAGCTTCACAGCTGTATTACATTTATTGTTAGAACCTCTGCTAAGATTCAAAACACAACTGGAGTATTTAGAAAGCATCCAGGAGCCGGAGCCAAGGGTTCTCCTCCTCAGCCTCTGGCAGCTCATAGGAACATCACATCACTGACAGAGACTTCAGCAGCTAGAATTATCTCCACCACAGTGGCTAGTTAGTTCAACTCCTGGGGCTTGAACTCAGGGCAAGCACTGTTCCTCAGCTTCTTTTCTCAAGGCTAGAGCTCTACCACTTGAGCCATACTGTCACTTCTGGCTTTTTTCTGAGTAGTTTATTGGAGATAAATAAGAGTCTTACAGATTTTCCTGTCAGGCTGGCTTCAAACTGCAATCCTCAGATTTCTGCCTCCTGAGTAGCTAGGACTACAAGCGTAAGACACTAGAGGCTAGTTAGTTCTTACTAATTTTTTATAAAACTCTGCAAACTTTGGGCTCTAGACAAAGCACAGTTTAAGTTAGTCTTCAGACCAACACTAAAATCTAACAGAATCCTTCAAGTTGTTTCTAGAAGGTGTTTCCTTAACATTGGCTGCAGCCATGAGAGGATTTTTAAAGAGCAGTCCTACCTACATACAGTGTACCACCTTCAGAGACTAGATATGGCATTCTCAAAGAACCAAGGGCTAACAAGACCCAAGAAGACTTTCCAGGAAGCCTGTAAGCTTTTCCTTCTTGAGAGTTATGTGCAAGTACTAAGAAAAAGCACCTGAAGAAATCCACATTCACAAAGAACTCCACTTACTAGAGAGGCTGGTAAGTGCTCACCTAGAAATTGAATCTTCCAATCACCTACACCTAACCAGCTGTCTTGTCACATTCCAAACCAGCAGCCTATTCCTATCTAGACCAAAGTTCATGACATGCTTATACACAGCATTCAGCCACTATCTTATGGTCCAATTGTCTGACTTCTTGGTTTCTTTCATCTCTCAAATCCAGTCCATCTAAACAAGATGCTGGTGACTTTATTCTATGTCTATTTCAGTATGCAGTACCACTACCACAACTTTCAACAACTTACCTTCCCTGCCAAACTCTTGCACTAAAACAAGAATCTATTTAACATCATGACCTCACCTCTCATCCTAGACAAATGTCCTAACTGTTCAGGTCTCAATCTGTCAAGAGTTCAAAGGCTTCCAAATGTCCTTTGGCCCTGAACTCCCAAACAAAAGAGACTCTAGAATCTCAAACCTAGAGGGAACCTATGAAACATGCTCAGATAGCTGCCATCTACCAAACTGGTTTGGGTCTCTGCACACAGCCTCCTGAAATGACACCTACCAGCCCGACTTCAAGCCCATGCATTATCTGGAACCATAGGCATTTCTTCCTCATCCCCACCACAGGTACCCCCACAACCACAGGATTGGGACTCCCATGTTTTTCTCTGAGCATTCAGACATGCCCTGACTCATGTATAATACTGCTTTTTGGAACTTTCTCTGGTAAGGTCTACCTGTTCATTAAAAAATTCCCAACCCTACTTCTGATCTCTTTGGAGAGCTATCCTATATTCTCTAAATTTCCAAACAGAAAAGATTCATACTACCTAAGGACTGAATTCTTCTTAGCAAAAAGGAATGGAAGGAAGCCAGGTGCTGGTGGCTCACACCCATCATCCTAGCTACTCAGGAGGCTGAGAGCTGAGAATCGCAGTTCAAAGCCAGCCTGGGTAGGAAAGTCTGTGAGACTCTTATCTCCAACAAACTACTCAGAAAAGGCCAGAAGTGGTACTGTGGTTCAAGTGGTAGAGTGCTACCTTGAGCACAGAGAGACTCAGGGCTAGAGTACAAGTCCTGAGTTCAAGTCCCAGGACCAGAAAAAAAAAAAGGAATGGAATGAGTGTATCCCTCCACCTACTGGCAAAGGCTATCAGGATATACACAAGGAAAAGGGGGGAAAAAAAAGAGGTTCTGGCTGTTGAAAGTTAAAACTAAATATTTTTACAACAAATAGTTAAAATACCTTGAGAAACCTGCATCCGATTTACTGGCAGGGGTAGAGGTCCATCTATAGTGGAAAATAAAAAACACAAATACTGGTTATTTAAAATAACCCTTGATTTTACAACAAGGAATTTCCTATGAAGGACTTCAAACTTCCAAGGGAACCTAGTCAATGAGTCCAAAAGCACTGTGCTCTGATGCCAACACATACTTTAAGACCCTTCCCATGACAGAAACTCAATGCCCCTGCAGGCCACTACCACAAAAACAGTTTCAAGTGCTGATTTCTGGAGAATATAATTCTGTACTATAAGGCATGCATCCCAAACAACGAAGAAAAAAGCAAACAGGCTAAGGGCAGGTAGAAGGAAAGGTAGTCCTTACTTGGAGGTCTCACAGACTGAGCTGGTGGGATTACAGGAGGCTGAGCCCCGGGGGCTGGTAAAGCTGGCTGGTTTCCCAAGATGCCTTGCTTATGTAAACGCGACCTCCGTTTTTCTTCTAGTTCTTTTTGTATTTTATAGATTTTCTCTGCTAATAGATGATAATATTCATCCTAAAACACAATAACATTCAAAATCAGGCAATTAAAACTATTCAAAACAAGTGATCTGTTTAGTACGTCCTAATTAGCAACTTAGGGCCTCTTGCAGGTGATATCACCACTTGAGTCATACCCCTAGCTTTCCCCACCCACTGCTGCTGAGATTCAAACTCAGGGCCTGGCATATGCTAAGCTGGTGGTCTATCACTGAACTATATCTGATCTCATTTTTTTTTTAAGTATTAGAATCAAAAGTAAGCATTTAGCATAAGGATAAGGATCTTTTTTTTTTCTTAATTCCTAATGATGCCTGTGTACCTTTTTTTTGTCGGTCATGGGGCTTGAACTCTGGGCCTGAGCGCTGTCCTTGCGCTCTTCAGCTCAAGGCGAGCTCTCTACAGCTTGAGCCATAGCACCACTCCAGTTTTCTAGTGGTTTACTGGAGATAAGAGTCTCATGGACTTTTGTGCCTGGGCTGGCTTTGAACCGTGATCCTTAGCTCTCAGCCTCCTGAGTAGCTAGGATTACAGGCGTGAGCCACCGTCCCCCCCCCCTTTTTTTTTTTGGTCAGTTGTGGGGATTGAATTCTGGGCTTGGGTGCTGTCCCTGCGCTCTTCAGCTCAAGGCGAGCACTCTACCGCTTGAGCCACAGTGCCACTTCCAGTTTTTCTGGTGGTTTATTGGAGTCTCATGGCCTTTCCTGCCGGGGATGGCTTTGAACCAGGCTCCTCAGATCTCAGTCTCCTGAGTAGCTAGGATTACAGGAGTGAGCCACCAGTGCCTGCATGTGTACCCTTTAATTGTGACTTTATTGGGTCCTGTAGATCATAGAGGTTCCCCACTTCTGTACAAACCAGACAGAAATAGTGTTTTCACTTTATGACACATTCAACCACTTCCTGCTGACCTACCCTGCTGTTGGCAGACTCATACATGTCTCCTTCCACTTTCTTAGCGTAGGCAACCAGGTTCTCCATGCGACGGTCCTTCAGAGCTGCAGGGTCAGGGGTTGGGAAGATGGCTTGGACACTGAAAGGATAACACACTCTATCAACCTACTTTCAAGGTGGTCACATGAGAACCAGCAAAAACCAGGATCAGCAAATGGACTAACTGTGGTAACTGATGAGCAAAACCCCAAATCTCTCAGTGTTGCTATTAGTCAAAAGTCTTTTTTCTGTTAACAACATGGGTCATTTTGAAAATATGACTTTAAATGCTTACTTTTTAAAGTATTCTTTTTTTTTGGGGGGTGGGGGGTCGGTCATGGGGCCTGAACTCTGGGCCTGGGCGCTGTCCCTCAGCCTTTTTTTTTTCCCCCCAGAGCTGAGGCTCGAACTCAGAGGCTTGCGCTCGCCAGGTAGGCGCTCCTCCGCTGAGCTTTTCAGCTCAAGGCTAGCACTCTATACAAAGAACTAGACTGCCCAGGGTAAAACTTCAATTGCTGCTGTTCTAAGAGCAAAACCGGGTCTGGGGAAACCCACCTCAACTTTGGAGGCCACACCAGTCATCCTTCCAATGGGGAAGGGCTGGAAACAGAAGGCTGTGAGTCAGGATTATTTGTCTTGACAGTTGCAGTGGTTTGCAACTTTGTGTATTAGAATTACTGAACATTTTTTTGGTCGGTCGTGGGACTTGAACTCTGGGCCTGGGCGCTGTCCCTAAGCTTTTCAGCTCAAGGCTAGCACTCTACCACTTGAGCCACAGTACCACTTTCGGCTTTTTCTGCTTATGTGGTGCTGAAGAATCGAACCCAGGGCCTCATGCATACAAGGCAAGCACTCTACCACTGAGCCACCTTCCCAGCCCTATTCTTTTTTTTTTTTTTTAATTTTTTATTGTAAAGATACTATACAGAGGGTTACAGTTACATGAGTGAGGTAATGAGTACACTAGCCCTATTCATTTTTAAGAGGATCAAAATAAGGACAAAAACCTCTAAGAAATCTATTTGACTAACATCACCTTCAATTGAGGTAGCTTATTTTGAAAAGCTAACTTTCTGTGTATTAACTAACTGTATGATGCTATTTATACTCATTCCAATTCCCCCAATTTTTAGGAGTCTCTACAACTATAGTTCTGAATTACAGAATAAGGTAAAGCTCTTGCTTGAACCAGTCCCAGAGTTCAGAGGTTCAACTGCAGCTTTAGCTCATGCCCTTCTGTTCTATGATACCTGTACCCATCCATGGAGGACCAAGGCTAGGAGACCCAATTTTCCCAGGCTCTAGCAGTGGTAGTGGCTTTCTAACAACTACTGATCCTCTGTGGCTCTAGGGCACTGTATCACCTGGGAGCCAGTGGACAAATGTGGAACAAATCAGAACTCTATGCAGCTGAAAAGTCGCGTCCATACTCTGTCACCGCGTCGGTACGTACAGTTTGTGCACCAGGTGGCTCCGCAGGTCCTGAGTGACGTGCTCGTGCCAGCCCTTCCGGACCCCAGCGCTGGAGGGAGGCGCTGCTGCAGGCACTGTGCTGAGGCTTCCAAGGCTACCCGAGCTGGAACCATCAGTCATCAGTGGGCTGAGGGGGACAAGAACAAGGACGCTTCACCTAGCTAGTCAAGTGTCTCAAACACACTTAGATAAAGCTATCGTCAAATACATATAACTTAAAAAGATTAAGCTAACAGATGCAAAAATCCAACAAAATTCAAACTATGTTTATTCTGTTGTTTATTTACTTCCGATACTGAGGCTTAAACTCAAGGTCTCACTTTTTTTTTCTTTTTGGGTCCGGTAGTGGGGCCTGAACTCTGGGCCTGGGCGCTGTCCCTCAGCTCTTCAGCTCAAGGCTAGCGCTCTACTACTTGAGCCACAGCGCCACTTCCAGCTTTTTGCTTATGTGGTGCTGAGGAATTGAACCCAGGGCCTCATGCATGCAAGGCAAGCGCTCTACTACTGAGCCATCTTCTCAGCTCTAGCCTTACACTCTTACTTGGCCTTTTTACTCAAGCCTAGCACTACTTGAACCATACCTGCACTTCCTGCTTTTTACTGGTTAACTGGAGATAAAACTCTCAATTTTTCTGCCCAGGCTGGCTTTGAACCTTGATCCTCAGATCTCAGCTTCCGAAGTAGCCAGTATTAACAGGCGTGGGCCACCAGCATCCAACATGTTCCATATTTATAATTTTTTGAGGAGGAGGCTTAAAATTAGGACTCAAACTTGGTAGCTGAAGCTTTTGCTCACTGGATGGTGTTGTACCAGCTGAGGCATGCCTCCAACCCCTACATTTATAATTTTATGTTATTTCTGTCAGTTGTGGGGCTTAAACTCTGGGCCTGGGTGCTATTTCTCTGCTCTTCAGCTGAAGGCTAGCGCTTTACCACTTGAGCCACAGCACCACTTTCGGTTTTCTGGTGGTTAACTGGAGATAAGAGTCTCACAGACTTTCCTGCCCAGGCTGGCTTTGTACTGTGATCCTCAGATCTCAGCCTTCTGAGTAGCTAGGATGACAGGTGTGAGCCACTGGTGCTCAGTTATATTTATAATTTTAAAGGAGAAAAATGCCATTCTTTCCTGAAACCCTTTACTGCCACACAGTGATAAAAGACCTAAACTAATGTGATCCTTGTCCATTTTCACGTACACTTATCCCTCAGACAAGAACTGACTGAAACCTTGATCTTACTTGGAAGCACCCAACGAAGTTGGAAGAGCTGGTTCTGAAATCAAGTTTGGTGGCTGCTGATCTGTTGTTATTCCCCCTGCTGGAATGTTCATTGGGTTGTTTCCTTCAAAGACAAAGAAAAATCAATCAATCCCTAGATTATAATATATACTTCAAAGTTCTTATAGTAGATAAACAAATCACCATATAAATAAACAATTCATATGAGGTATAGTAATAAAATATACAAAAAAGCATGATAGAATTTTGAGCTACATTTCAGTAATCTTGGCCAACTTATTCAAATTCCATTGTTGACTCTTTCCTACTGTACTTTGTAACAAAAAATAAAGCATGCTCTGGAGGCTACTGGTATCTTAAATGTACTCTATTGCTATAGAGTGAATTATAACAGCTCATTTGCAATGTCCAAATTTGGTTCTGTTACATTAATGTCAAACCTAGCCAACGAGGCTGACCTGTCACATACATCTGTGTTGGTTTTTATTCTTTTTAATGTATCATAAAAGAAAGTCACATACAAAAAATGAAGAATAAAAATGTAGATGGCCACCAGAGTGGTGGTGGTCGTGGTGGCTGCCCGGCCATGGGCAGGAGCATGCTGGTAGGTGGAGTGTACCTATATCTTGCAGAACCAGCGAGAGATAAAGATGCAGTCTTTCCCCAGCCACCTGAATAATCTAGTTTTGTCTGGACTCTTTGAACACGCACTAAGATAGTGAAGAGCCAGGTAAAAAGCAGAGACTAAGAAAAAGATTAATGAGGAACTCAGTGATCTGGTCTGAGACCCTCCAGCACTATGTTCTACAGGTGCAGGTGGGGATGACATGATTCACTGCCGAGCCACAACTATGGGACCTAATGACAGCCCATATCAGGGTGGTGTATTCTCTCTCTCTCTCTCTCTTTTTTGGTAAGTCATGGGGCTCAAATTCTGGGCTTGGGCACTATCCCTAAGCTCTTCAGCTCAAGGCGAGTGCACTACCACTTGAGCCACATTGCCACTTCTGATTTTCTGGTGGCTTATTGGAGATAAGAGTCTTACGAGGGGGAGAGGGGGCTGGGAAGGTGGCTCAGTGGTAGAGCGCCTGCCTTGCATGCCTGAGGCCCTGGGTTCGATTCCTCAGCACCGCATAAGCAAAAAGAAAAAAGCTGGAAGTGGCGCTGTGGCTCAAGTGGTAGAACACTCGCCTTGAGCTGAAGAGCTGAGGGACAGCGCCCAGGCCCAGAGTTCAGGCCCCACAGCTGGACCCCAACCCCCCCCCCCCCCCCCCCCCGCAAAAAAAAAAAAAAGAGTCACGGACTTTTCCTGCTCAGGCTGACTTTAAACCTCAATCCTCAGATCTCAGCCTCTTGAGTAGCCAGGATGACAGGTGTGAGCCACCGACACCCAGCTGGTGTATTCTTTTTGACAATTCATTTTCCTAAAGACTACTCCTTCAAACCACCTAAGGTTATATTTACAACAGAATTTATCATCCAAATTTTAACAGTAATGGCAGCCTTTGTCTTGATATTCTGAGGTCACAGTGGCCTCCTGCTTTAACTGTTTCCAAAGTTCTTTTATTCATTTGTTCACTGCTATGTGATCCAAACCCAGATGACCCCCTCGTGTCAGATATTGCACAGATCTATAAAACAGACAGAGAATATCTCGGGAATAGACTCAGAAGTATGCCAGGTTATGATACCTTAAATTCAGAATAATCTACACTATAGCTGGAGTAAACCTTAAATTACTGTTCCTTTTTTAATTTCCTATCTGGCTACTCAACTATCAGACCTCATGTTTTTTTTGGTTGGTTGAGGGGCTTGAACTCTGGACCTGAGCCCTGTCCCTGAGCTCTTCAGCTCAAGGCTAATGTGCTACCACTTTGAGCTACTGCACCACTTCCAGTTTCTTGGTGGTTAGTTGGAGATAAGAGCCTCATGGACCTTCCTGCCCTGGCTGGCTTTGAACTGTGATCCTCAGATCTCAGCCTCCTGAGTAGCTAGGATTACAGGCGTGAGCCACCAGCGCCCAGCATCTTTTTTTTTACTTTAATATTTTGTTTACCTCCCTCCATGCAGTCACATGTTCATCTGAGAAAATTTAATATCTTCCAGCTTTGGACAGCTTTTAGAGACTGCAAAGTAGTTACAAGAAAACAGTTGTCCAAGATTGAGTAATTTTTTAAAAAATTGAGCACGTGTATTATGTGGCTAAAATCTTCACTCTTAACTTGGTTAGGAGACTAAAAAACATTCCTCACTGCTCTAACATGCTGAAGAAACGTCTGAGGGGGAAGGAGATGGATACTCAGTTGTCACATCAAAGAAGCAACATCCTAGCAGGATCCATTCTTTGTTAAGCCTTCCACTGTTAAGAGATTTGAGGTTACACAGTATACTTTATGATCACAACTTACACGTGGTGGGAGAATTGGTACTGAATTTAGAGCATCAGCAGAACAAAAAAATGTTATATATTTTATTTATTTTTTTTGGTCCGGTCGTGGGGCCTGAACTCTGTCTGGGCTTGGGCGCTGTCCCTCAGCTCTTCAGCTCAAGGCGAGCGCTCTACCACTTGAGCCACAGCGCCACTTCCAGCTTTTTTCTTTTTGCTTATGTGGTGCTGAGGAATCGAACCCAGGGCCTCAGGCATGCAAGGCAAGCGCTCTACCACTGAGCCACCTTCCCAGCCCTGTTATATATTTTATTCATGTCAATAAAGAAATGACCTGTTCTTGTTCTACCGAGAATGGAAATTGGAAGCCAAACACCCTTCGTATTCCAAAATAAGGTCTCAAACTTTGTAATTTTCATGTAAATTGTTAGGATGCTTGCAGCTATTAGCTAATCTATCTTCCAATACACTGTGCAATATAGCACTGAATAAATGATACAAAATGTTAATGGATGAGTGATCAACTAATAGCTCTGCTAGTAATTGATTTTTCTTCAATAAAGTTGCATAGATCAATTAGTTAACTGCCTGGATTAACCAGTATGGGACACAATGTTTTGTAAATTGAAAACTTTTTTGTTTGTTTTTTCCCACCAGTCCTGGGGCTTGAACTCAGGGCCTGGACACCATCCCTGAGCTTCTCTGGCTCAAGACTAGCACTCTACCATTTGAGCCACAGCACCATTTCCAGCTTTTATCTGTTTATGTGGTATTAAGGAATTGAACCCAGGGCTTCATGCATGCTAGGCAAGCACTCTAACCACTAAGCCACATTCACATCCCTAGTAAGCTGTTTTTTGTGTAAACTGTTGGGATTTGCTTCACTGTTTGACATCCAAAGATGATGTAAAGTTCAAAGAGTGAATATTTTGCCATGTTCAGTTAAAGTGCACAGTCTGTTACAGGTTGACACCTTGTTTAACCTGATTTATGCAAACTTAGTAAGCTACTTAAATAGTGTAGCTTTAATAAACTGCACATGACACTGGCAGCCCTAGAGTTCATAAATGGACACGAGACCAGCAGTTCTGCAACATGTGTGTGGAACTTACTTTCCAGGTGCATCCCCTATCTAAAACTTCTCTTCATCATGTACACTTGATAGCTGGGGGGACAAAATGGGAGTAATACCTGGGCCACAATTTACAAAGTACTGTTGGTGTGGGAATTGTCATAAGGTTGTGTGGTATTAGGTATGAGCTATTAGGCATCCATGGAAATAGGTTTATGTAGCTATTTGAATTAATGAGCGTTTAAATGCATCATTTCAGGTGACTTAACATGAATAAAAGTCAATGGTATTGTAAAAAAATTATACATATCTGTATCTATATATGGCTAGATTCTATAATCTTCATATTAAAGTAAAAAGAAGTTGTAAATTAACAATATTGTCAAGTGATTCTATCAGCAGGGGAAGAGTCAGACAGAACTTGACTAGTCTTAGGGCTCCAACCCATTCTCTTGGCCAGTATTCGGACAGGTCATTAGGCAGTTGTTTTCCAAAAAACAACACATGCATAATATTAATTTTAGTTTCAATGTGTTTTGTTGGCAGAGCTGGGATCAGATTTGGGGCCTCGTGCATGCTAGGCAAGAGCATTATTCGCCCTGACTTTACGGACAGTACTGCTCAACATGGTGTAAACCTGAGGCATCAAGGACTGTGCCCATTCAGAGAACTATGTTAAAACAACATGTAAGAATGTAAGAAATTGTGGAGATATGTGAGCAAGTGGTCTGAGGCTGGCAAATGATGATCCAGTGTGACGAGAAGAAATGCCAATCTGTACAGAAGATGTGACATTAGGAGGTTTCTGATTGCCTTGTTGCTAACAAGCTTGAGTGAGACCTGCTACTTGCAATGGTGGGTGGACCACAATCAAGATGTGCCTGGAACCAGCAGATACCTACCAATTCCTCATCAAATAAACAAGTCTACTTAGAAGTCCACCCAATTTCGGTACAGCCTAATGCTACCTTGTGGTATTTTGCATTCTGAGCCACTGGATGTCCTTTACGAAAACTACCTAGACAGCAGCAGTACAGCACGCAGCCAAACACTGCTTCCCTTGAAAATCCTGTTCTTTCTACAAGCTTGGGCATCTTCCTTGCATTGGGCACTTGAGCTTTTCCTTAGGTTGTTATTTCAATTATTGACTCTGAAGTAAAAACAAGAACTGAAAACAGCCTTGGGTTCCTGTAAGAGCTGTCATTCTTCCAATGCAAAGGGAATTCTTGGGTGCTCGTCCACCTACCCAGGGGGTTGAGAGTCCTCATCTGCTGGTGGGCTGGAGGCTGTGCTGGTTGCTGGCCAGGAACCTGAGGCTGCAGCTGCGTCTGGGGCTGGTTCATGTAGGGGAGTCCAAGAGCAGCATAGGCCCGCTGCATGGAGCTGGGGTCTATAGGATTTGGGTTACTTAAAGAAGTGGCATTCTGTTGCCCTGTCCCAACAGAACCAATTGTATTTTGAATTCCACTAGCTGGAGACCCCAGGATGGCTAGAATAACAAACAGACAGGCAAAAACGGTTAAATAAAAGGAAGTAGCTCGCAAGTGATTTTTAAAACTAATATGCAAATAAAATCTTATAAAAGACCTTGCATGTACATCATAAAACATTCAAACAAGACCATCAAGGGCTAGACTGAAAGAATATTATGCATTTACTCTTTTTGGAAGCACAAAAAGCTGTTAAAAAAAGCAACAGAGATCACTAAATAAAAACCAGTATGTATTATAACCTAGACTTCTAAGTAGCCAGTTCTAGGGAGCGATACATGAATAACAAAGTGAAGTATTTAATTCTTTGGGGTCAGCAGCCCTCTCTGAGACGAAAGAAGGAGGAGCCTTCCTATAGTCTCCTACCCTGACGCTTCTTTCCTGCCCACCTACGTATGTAACTTTGGGATTAGCAGAGATGACGTCTAGTAAACTAGCTTTTATTAATAAAGCTAAAATATAATCCCCTAAGTAATTTTTTCTTGAGACAGCATCTCAATATATAACCCACACTATCCTGGATGACTGGAGATCTTGATTACTGGGATTACAGACATGTACATCTAGTACAGTTAAATACTTCCTATTCAGCATCACAGCAGGCTGGGCACTAGTGGCTCATGCTTTTAATCATAGTTCGAAGCCAGCCTGGGCACAAAAGTCTAAGGAACACTATCTAATGAACAAAAATGCTGAGCTGGAGGCATGGCCCAAGTGGTAGAATATCACCTGTGAGCAACAAAGGCAAGCAGGAGTGTGAGGCCTTGAATTCGTGCCACAGTACAAGAACAAAATTTTTTTTAAAAGGAAAAGAAAAAGAAAGACAAAAGGCCTGCAATACTTGACTGAATACAGGTCTGCTAAAACTTAAGAGCTGGAGCAAGGGCTGAAGATTCTCCCTGGATTTTCACTTCTTCAGGCATCATCTCAGAATCGCTGCTGTTCAGAACCTAGATCTGTCTGTCTTCTTCATGGAGCCATCATCAGCCACCTCTACTGAAGCCCACAAGTGGATTGGAGAGCGGCTGTCCCGCCCAGCTGGCCAACTCCAGGAGACTAAAGCAAACAGCCATGGAGACAGAAGGAAGTCCATTTCTTTTTTTTTCTCCTGCTTATGTGGTGTTGAGGAATTGAACCCAGGGCCTCAGGCATGCAAGGCAAGGACTCTACCACTGAGCCACCTTCCCAGCCCCAGGAAGTCCATGTTACACGCGTGCGCAAGCACACACACACACTCAAATGGCAAGTTACACGCGTACACACACACACACACACACACACACACACACACACACACACACCTTTCTGTCACACTCTGTGTATGCTGGTATATTAGGGCATGAACCCAGTGCCTGGAAACTGCCCTGAGCTTTTGAACTCAAAAGTAATGCTCTACCACTTGAACTACAGCTCCATTTCTGGCATTTTAGTAGTTTGCTGGAGATAAGAATCTCACACCAGGCACTAGTGGCTCCAGTATATAATCCTAGCCAATCTGGAGGCTGAGATCTAAAGGTCATGGTTTGGGGCTGGGAAGGTGGCTCAGTGGTAGAGCTCTTGCCTTGCATGCCTGAGGCCCTGGGTTCGATTCCTCAGCACCACATAAGCAAAAAGAAAAAAAGCCGGAAGTGGCACTGTGGCTCAAGTGGTAGAGTGCTAGCCTTGAGCAAAAGAGCTCAGGGACAGTGCCCAGGCCCTTAGTTCAAGCTCCATGACTGACCCTACCCCCACACCAAAAAAACAAAAACAAAAATAAAAATAAATGAATAAAGGGTTCTCACGGACTTTCCTGTCCTATTTGGCTTTGATTCATGATGCTCAGATCTCAGCCTCCTGATGTTATTATGAAGGTGTTATACAGAAGGGTTTCCATTTCGTAAATCAGGTAATGAGTACATTTCTTTTTTGGACAATGTCACCCCTTTCTTCTCCTTTCCCCAGTTTACCTCTCCCATCCCACCCCACAAATTACATGGTTCATTTTTCACATAGTATATACTGAATAGCATGATTGCACTTGGTCATCCTTCTTCCTTCCCTTTCTGAGAACTCCCTCCATTGCTCCCTCCTAAAAAGAAAACCAAAACCAAAACCAAGTATCATCACAATCACCAAAACAAACCCATGTTTCCATTTCCTGGAATTTGTTTCGATAAATAGTATTTTAAATGTTCAGGAGTTACACCTTTGAGTTCTTCCACTAAGGGTATCTTCCTTTAGTCTTTGTGTAAATGCCTAAAGTCCTGTATAGGTTATCATGTCCAACTGTATTTTTAGATATGGTCATAACATATAATTTTTGACATGGGAAATACTACCACTAAGACTCTTTCTTTAAAATTCAAGCCATCATGTGTAACAATAATGTTCTTACATTAAACTATCAATCCAACTATAATAAATTACTTGATTTTTTTAGAGCATCTCAATTAAACTGCAATGTGTAAAATTTTTTTCAGTACTCATTCCATAGCTTTTCTGATAATGATATTCAGAACTCAAGCATATTAATGCTAATTAGATATAATTACATACACCAAATACCATATTTATTATAAATGAAAAGCAATTCCCAAGGTAAACCTTATAATATGTAGATAAGATAGTCTTGCATATTTTTAAAGTGTTTCACCTAACAGTTATTATTCCCTGAAACTTTAAACATATCCCATCATACTTCTGAAACAAATACATTTTTTTTTAAGGAGGTACTAAAGATACTTTTTAAAGAGTGCTGGGTACAGAATGCAGGACCTCATACTTGCTAAGCAACCATTCTACCACAGAACTACACTCCTGTTCCAGAGTAATTTACTTTTCTATCACCTTGTGGTACAAAAAAAAGAACACTATAATTGATAGTCATACTGATCAATTATGGCCAAGACTTAAAAAAAAGGAAGAGTCTGTGGCCTCCCTCTCTGAGAAATAGATGTGCTTTCCTGACTTTGTTCTATATTCTTTCATCACACTTCCCCAAATGACACTGATTTAGTCAACACCTCTACCTTAGGGTGAATGTCACTCTTAAGCCAAGGCCACTGACGGGGTAGCCAGTATCTCACTCTCAAAAGACACCTCACTGTCAACACTGACTGACTATGTATACGTTATTTTTATACCATCATAATGCTCAGAGCTTGGCATTTCTAACAATTCAGAAGTAAGGAAAATAAATTACAAACAGCAGCTTGACAATGAAGCACAGGCTACTGTGAGATCCATATGATTGCTACAAGATGAAACAGCATGAACACCTAGGAGAAGAGCACATGGCTTACTGTGGAAGTCACGGTTGATTGACAGGTGGGATACATAACATATTGTAAACTCTTGTAGTGATGTAACAGTGAAACTCCCCTCTGTATAACTAATGTAAGCTAATTAAAAAAAAAACAAAACAGGAATCCACATGAGACTCATTTGCCACATGGACCCAAGTCCAGGGGATTTGCAGCCATTGTGTGTAGTCCCCATCCTGCTCCAAACTGACTGAAAAAGTGCCTTGGGGCTAAATAAGAACAGAGCACTTAAGACAGCAATGTCTCACTATCTAAATCCTAAGAAAGAGTTCTCTAGTCACTAGTTCTTCAGCAATTACTGAGGTAGATCTTCTTAGTCCTTTTACGATTCATATACCTCATTTCCTTTCTGTTGCTTACAGCTGATTAATGTGTTACCAGGCTACAGGATGTAATACCTCACTCTGAGGTGTCCTAATATGCCAGGTTTGGGTTCTCCTTGGTGTTGTACCTGAACCCAGATATTTGCTTGCCTTTTTGAGTTTTAGATTTCCTTTTTTCTTTTGTACAAGTACTGGGGCTTAAGCTGTCTCTTAGCTTTTTGGTTCAAGGCTGATGCTCTACGAGTTGAGCTACACTATTACTTCTGGCTTTTTGGTAGCTAAATGGAGGTGAGAATCTCACAGACTTTCTTATCTGGGCTAGCTTTGATCTGTGGTCCTCAGTCTCCTGAGAAGCTAGGATCATAGGCATAAGCCACGGGTGCTTGGCTTACTTGCCTCTTTAAAGCAATCCAATACCCTCTCTACCTTACCATTCCCACTCTATTGTAAGAAAAGCAGGAGACCATGGTTTATGAAATAAAAGGCCAAGTTTATTGTGTGTTCTTTCTCGGATTCACCTGCCATTCCTTGTTTCATTTTCTTTTCTCCTTTTGGTGGTACTTGAGTTGAAGTCAGGGCTTTCTACTTGTCATGTAGGAACGTGTTGTACTGCTTGAGCCAGGCCTCGTGGTGGGCCTGGAAACACAGTTCTCATCTCCACCTCCTGATAGCTAGGATTAGAAATGTGAACAAGCCTACCCAGCCTCACCTGCCATTCTTTATACAGGGCAAGGCAATCCTTCCCTCATGAATATGAAGAGTGGTCTACTGAGAGTGTCTATATAGTACATGCTGCTAACAATCAATGAACCAGCAACATCGGTCTCTCATCATTCTCACTGAAAATGGACACAACTTGTAATTTCAAGGCTTTGTCGGGGCTGCAGGAGACATACTGCAGAGTGGACGAGGAGGCTAATCTACCCATTCCTTAGATTTCTTCAAACAAGAAGGCAAGAGTACAGCAACATGTTAGAGGGGGACCACTGAACAGTCGTGAGGACTCACACTGTGCCCAAGCTCGAGTCTATACTGGAGATGACCCTGAAGCACTGATGTGTGTCCTTGAGGGATTTAGAGCTGGGAAACCTATGATCTCCTTTGGAGATTACTGCCACCTCTCTATGGAGCTTGGCCCTTGCAGGCATCCTGAGCAGACCATTTCAAATCTTAATGTGTACCCTAGAATTTGTTAAAAATGTAAATTATAATACAGAAGGACAGGTCCAAATGTCTACATTTCTAACAAACAACCCAGAATCACCTTTGCGGCCTGAATACTCCATTCTGAGTTAGCAAGAACCTCACCGGGTCTGGTTGAGGAACTTGGACACATGCCACACAGATATCAGGACTGATGGCAAAAAAGTTCTAAGATTTCAACAACTGAGTATTTCTATAAAAGATGCTTAACTTAGGATCAGTCATCACAGAGCTTGTAGAAAATAGTTTGAAGAAAATTTAAAATGTCAACATAAGCCAAAAAGAAACCATTTTTGAGTTTTATTTTAGCAATAAAGGTGATTTGGAAGATTGTCACAATAGTATTTTAACTTCAATTATAGGAGTTAAAAATAATACAGGATGTGTGCCAACCAATGAGGTGTACACGAGACAGTCATGCCAAAAAGCTGAGCTGTGTGCTGGCCCAGTGCCGAGTGCCAGCAGCAGGTGCGGGTGGCCTTCAGCAGTACACTGTGGTCTTTAGAAGCTCACTCCAGCCCACCTCACTTGCACAGGTACCTCTGAGTCCAATCAGATCCGCTCCTCACAGACTATGTGTTATGCCAACATTGTTACTGCTGCCTAAAATGTTCTTCCATAGCTATTATGCTTCAATTGAGCTCCATCCAGCCCCACCTTTCTCTATGAAGTAGTCCAGGCACATGTTTGTTCTCCTCCCAAGGATTGCCAAAAGCACTGACTTCATCAGATCCTTTCAGCGAGACCATCACCTCAGTGTCTTGTAAGTTTCTGAGACAGGATCTCACCGTGGTATAAGCTAGGCACTAGGATCACATGGACATGCATCACATTTCACCACAGTATTTGGATGCATATGTCATTTGCCTCTAGAATCTAACCTTAAGTTATAGAGGATCAGATCACATTTGTCTCTCAGTTTGTAAACCAAAGTTCACACATTATAAGCACAATTTGTTTTAGGAGAAAAAAAATTACAGAAAGACTATTGCTAAAAATGCCCTCACTTATTACTCCATACTCACAAAAGTACAGGTCTAGAGTCAAACATCACACACAAGGCTTAAATGTAATTTAAGAAGCACTTAAGCTAGGTGTTTGTGGCTCATATTAGTAATCCTAGCTACTCAGGATGCTGAGATTTGAGGATTGCAGTTAACAGTCCAGGCAGGAAAGTCCAATTAACTAGTTGATAACTGATAAGTAGGTGATAATTATCGTTAAGTAGTGGAAAGAAAAGCTGGACTAGGAGCATGGCTCAAGTAGCAGAGTGCCAGCTGTGAATAGGAAAAATCAAGTGGAACACAAGGACCTAGATCAATCAAGCCCCCAGTATCAGCATTAAAAAAGGGGGGGGGGGAAACAGTTGAAACATTTAAAAAGAGCTGTCGGACCTGTTGGCTCTTGTCATTAACTTTATATGCCCAGGAGGCTGAAATTCAAGGATCACAGTTTGAACCCAAACTGGGCAAAAAAGCTTGTGAAACTTTTATTTCAAAGTAACGAGCAAAAAGTTAGAGGTGAAGGTATGGCAAAACAAACAAAAAAAACCCTTGAGCAAAAAACCCAAGTAAGAGCACAAAGCCCAGAGTTCAAGAATTGACATAAATAAATAAATAAATCTTCAATTTTTCTCATTAAAAAACTACCAAAACCTTTTGCAGAGTACATATGAGCCTCCTCTGTAACATTTGCTATCGAATCACCCTGGAAACACTTCACAATATGACTAGTAGAGAGACTGTGGTTTACCACTTGAGAGGGCATGCATCAAATCAGTTTTCCTAATACTGAGGCAGTTACAAAGATGTAAGGAAAAACAAACCACATACATTTCTTTCTTTTTAAAAACAAAACCACGTAAGTATTTCTTCTTCCCTTTTTTCTTTTTTTTTCCTTCTGGTGCCCCTGAGCTTCAGTTTGCTCAGGGCTAACAATCTACCATGTGAGCTACAGTCCCACTTCCAGCATTTTTTGTAGTTTATTTGGAGATAAAAAGTCTCACGGACCTTTCTTTCTGCCCAGGCTGGCTTCAAACTGCAATTCTCAGATCTCATTTTCCTGAGTAGCTAGGATTATAGGTGTGAGCCACTAGTGCCCAGCTTAGAGAAACATATTTTTAAAAGGAGAAATCACAGAAGTTTAGAACTTTCCTAGCAATATATACCAATCACAAAAGACCTCAAAATCTTCACACTCTCAAATTAAAAAACTAACATCCTAGCTTATTATTTAAGAAATTAATATTGTACAAGTACAAACTTGACAATGAAATCACAATAAATTAAACCACTGCCATACATTTTTTAAAAAGTTTTACAGTAATTTGGAGAAAAGTAGTCAGTATGCCACCAGAACTATTACCATCCCAAATAAACTGGCTCCAGAAGACTTAAGTCTTCTAGAACTTTATTTATATAAAAGATGTCTGGGAAAATTTATGTACTAAAGTACAATTTTTGGTCAAAGAATAATATAACTGATTCAGGAAACTAAGTTTTAAAAGAAACTTACTGTGATGGGGGAGTATGGCTCATATGGTAGAATGCCTGCCTTGCAAATATGAGGCTGTGAGTACTGCCAAAAAGAAACTTACTGGGACTCCTGTGTAGGGAGGAAGAGTAAAAGACCCCCGCGCCCTAGATTTCTCTCAATACAGACAAGGACAGCTCCCAGTGACAGCTTCAAGGGAGGGGAGCTGGACATGTAAGAGGAGACCGTGGAGCCAGCACGGCTCCACTCCATGACCTTCTCGGATCAGGGTTCCCATCTCTCCCTGTGCCACTCACAGCCAGCCAGGAAAAAAAGCAGCATGTGTTCCCACGGCTGCAGGTGGAGACCCTGAGGATGATGATGAAGGAAGTACGAGGAATGTAAACTCAGAACACAACTGTGGAGGAGAAAAGCTGGCATAGATGAGATGGAGGAAGATGAGGAAGACTGTGCCTTGAGCCCGAAGGGCTCCTCCTAGCTATCCAAACGAGGAACACTCCCAGAGACCACTGACATGATAGAAAACGCCTTAAAAAGAAGAGATATTCAGTTTTCTTATTGTTTTGATGCCTACAAATGGTAGGATTCATGGGGCCTCCCAAATGAACAGACATTGGTGTAGAACCGATCATTCTAAGGGTTACACAGACAACTCAGAAGACAACAAAACAATGGGAATGAGCAGATGTGCCAGTCCTGGAGCAGAGACTCTCAATGGAAGTGGAATAGGTCTGGGAACTGCATCTCTGAGTAGGAGGAAGAAAGTTCGTAAATGTCTCTCCATGTGGGAATCTTATACTGACCAACCTAACCGACAGAGCCTTCACTATTTGTTTGGAGGGATATCTAATGCAAAAGAAGTACTGTTTCACCTTCCCGTGTCAGTGCCACTATAAGTGACACAGCATTCAACTCCTCATACTTGGTAACTGTGAGAAAAAAAAACCCATCTTCATATCTGCTATTTGATGCACTGCACTCCAAGTGCATGCATACAAGGTAGGGCCAGGGAGGAGGGTAAATTAGAGCTCAACATGGACGTGGCCATCAGCTTCACTAACGGGTGGGTTATCTACAGGTTGAGCTTGGCTGTACCTGGATCTCTGCCTGCACTGCCTTACTACTGCCCTTTGCAGCTGGTAACCCCTTAAAACATTCTAGTCTCATCTCCAAGCTTCTCTGCCCCCGTGCTCACTTACTTTGTTGGTTTCGCTTGTCACTGGCATTTTTCAAAGGGAGGCAAACAGGACAGTCATGTCGTGTGCAGTTCTTCCAATGAGAGATGATTTGTCGTGAAGATGCACAATGGGCAACTATGACCAGAAAAACAACGAGATGTTATTTTTCTATCCAAATCGTCACACTTTCAATTACACCTAAATTATAATGCCAGATTCCATAAGAAAATGGTAACAAGTGTAACCATAACACAATACAGGCATCTTCAACTTACAGAATGCTTTCCAAAAAGTTTGTAAGTTGACTGTCAAAAACTCCAAACAGAAAACTTCCCATAGAGGCAATGTTATGAATGATGGGTGATTAAGATTTAGCCCACAAACAAAATAAAACTATTCAACCTGAAATACAGAACTGAAAAGTAAAACAAATATAGTTCTGCAATGTCACTGTTTAAAATAAAAACACTGAATTGTATTTAAAGATGAAAGCATCTAAATACTTCAGTTGAAGAAATGTAGATAGAGAAGCAAATGAGAAGTCTGTGGAAATTTTGAAAGAGACCCTTGAGTGTTTATGGTAAAGTACTGGAGAGGATAATCAATGCTCTAGCTATTCTCAGTCTTCTTCTTCGAAGTCTAACCTTACCTGTTCCAACCTACTCATGATCAGGATTACTCTGGGGACTCACAAGTGACACAATGGGAGAAAGACAAGGTAGAGTTTACCCCAAGGTTTAGGAAACAAGAAAGAAGAGAAGGAAAGAAGATAAAGATGACAGAAAAGGCACAGCTGTTCATGTGAACAGTTCACCTCATTCAGTGTGACTGAGGGGTCTGGAAAAGGGGGTAAAGGGAACACATGATGTGCCTTGGGGTGAAACGGTGCACACAGTCTCCCATGTCACTGCCAGTCTCCCAGGACAACTTGCTGTCATTGGAGTAGCCTCAAGATGTAGGGCAGAGAAGCAGAGCAGTGGGCAGCAGCAGGTCTGAGTCCATGAACAAGACAGATGCTAGGTTCAGAGAAGGGCATGTGCCTGTCTGTGCATGTGCTAGTCACTGCCCAAAAGGAAATCACAATCTAGATATTTACAACCAGGAGTGTTCAAGAAGAGATAGTCTTCCAAGACAGGAAAAGAACACAGATCCTAGCCTTATGCAGAAGAAATCTAAGTTATTAGAAAACCAAACTGCCTTTCTCCTTAGCAGGTGAGCCTTCCAAAGGCAGCTGAGTGTCAGGTGGTGGGTGCAAGAGCAACATGTTCTAGGCCACACCAGAAAGGGGTCAGTACAGAAGGGTGCACAGCCTGTGACCACAACAAGAACAAAGGCACATTCTACCCTGACCATGGCCACTAGTTCAGAAAAGAGCACTTACCTTGGCAGGCTTTCCCAGCCTGACAATGTGTCATATGATTCAAAACATTTTTCATGGTTCGACAATGTGGGAGAGAGCAGGCCCGAACCTCTCCGTTTGCTTGTTCTCGTCTCTGACATTTATGAGCATGAAGCAGTAGAACCAGCTGCTGCTGTATCAGTTTGCGTTTTTCAGGATCCGCAGTAGGACCTGTTGCCATTGCTTGTGTGGGTACAATTCCCACTGATGTCTGCATCTGTGACTAAAAAGAACAAAAGAACCTTAGTAAGCTTTTAGAACTTGAATTTACCAGAGCTCCTTCAGCTTAGTTTCTTCAGTGGTGCCTAAAACACATACACAGTAATTTCACTGTGGTCACTGCCTCTCCTAAGAGAGTACAACACTGTCCTCAACACATCCACCTAGTGCAATTTTAAGATTATCATGTCTTAATAAATAAACAAACAAGTAAGAGGGCTAGGAAGGTGGCTCAGTGGTAGAATGCCTGCCTAGCATGCATGAAGCCCTGGGTTCCATTCCTCAGTACTGCATACACAGACAAAGCCAGAAGTGGCTCTGTGGTTCAAGTGGTGGAGCGCTAGCCTTGAGCACAGAGAAGCTCAGGGACAGTGCCCAGGCCCCAAATTCAAGCCCCAGAACTGGCAAAAAAAAAAAAAAAAATCCTCCTCTGATAACAGCTAATACCTATCATATTCTGAATTGGTTTGTTTTGTCTTTATGAGAACTCAGGACATGTACGTGTATGTGTAGAAAAACCAGGTGACTTTGCTTAGAAGCACATTGGAAGCCTGAGTATAACTCTAAGTACAACCCAATTTCTAGCTGAAGTACATCTGAAGTTTCACAGTGCAAACGAAAGATTGCCCACCTATAAACCTGAGATTCTGAACTGGGCAGACTAGATGAGGCCCAGGAGAAACAAATTGCTGGGGTACATACTGAGAGACACTACAGCAGGAGCCCTACAACTCACAGGCCACCCTGAGAGGACTAGCACGCAAGGCTCACCATTCGGATGCCATCCGTCACTGCCCATTGTGGCAGGACACAGAAGACAACCCCAGACAACCCTCTCCAGTCAGAACAGCCCTGCACCATCCATACTCTCTTCCCTTCTAAAAACACTCATCAGCTGCTGATGGGGTTGGTCCAAAACCTCAACTTCAGAATTCTGATACATGATCAAAACAAGTGATAACACTGCTCTCATAAGGCCTTTTAAATAAATAACACACCTGGTAAACCTCCTGCATTATAGCTTTAGGAATGGTCAAGTTTTCAGCACAGTTAATTTTTCTTAAAAAAAAAAAAAAAGCCCACATGAGCTGTGTATCTGAAATAACCTTGAAAGAGAACCTAGAGACAAAGCCTGTGTGATGGAGAAACGTTCTCAAAGACTCCCCACTTCCAAGCAGCAATCTGTTCCAGTGGCTCAGCAAGACGATGCTGCCGGTTACCAGGTTGTCTGTCTTCGGAAGGAACCACCAATACACAGCCATTCCCTGCCACTCTCTTGACTTCTTTTTCCCTCTGGTAGCAGTGCTTCAACTGAGAGAACTCATACTTGGTTGGCTTGCTTGCTCACAGCTGGTACTCTACCACTTCAGCCACGTCTCCAGTATTTTGCTGGCTAATTTGAGAGGGAATCTCATGGATTTTTCTGCTCAGGCTGGCTTCAAACTGTGATCCTCCGGGTTTCAGCTTCCTGAGTAGTGTGTATTATGGGCACAAGGCACCAGCATGTAGCTTCTACTCTCCTGCACACATCCCTCCTCAAAGATACCTATGTATCTCATATCTAATCTACACAAAGGCAATTCAATTTCTGCCCCCCTAAAAATCTGCTCCTCCTCCATCAATAAAAGTAATTTTAAAATTCTTGCTCCCACAGTAAGCTGTCCTAGAAACTGTATAGAGAACTCATATTTATTAAAGTACTCAACAGAGACAAGTAAATCAGCATACATACTATATGTCATTAAATATAGGATTTGACTGAGAAGTGAGACGCTCATGAAAAAGTGCATCTGAGAATCAGAAAAAATTATATGATGACAATTCTTTTTTAAAAGTATTTTTTATTTAATGACTTTTTTGTTGTTGTTGTTTATATGGTACTGAGTAATCGAACCCAGGACCTCATGCATGCTAAGCAAGTACTCCTAAGCCACTTTCTCAGCCCATATGACAATTCTAACAAACCTCAAAGTCTGTATAAAGTAAAAGAGGACAAATAAAATGGTCAAAGATAAAGTGCAACAAGATACACCTGAAAATTTAAGAAAATGTATATTTGCTTTTGGATATATCCTCAGGAATAATCCTATTTCCAAAGAAGTTTAGCCCTTCCAGAGCTCTCACCAGCATGACCTAGGAATAATGGCATCAATACTGGACGTGACCATGGAGACATAATCCAAAGGTCTCCACGCATGCCTCAGTGGAAGACAGTTCTCCCAAGGCTAACCTGCTCATTCTGACGTTCTGACATCCTCCTGGTCTTAGCACTCTAATTCCTCTGATCCCAAGGTTCCCCTCTCCAGTGTTTTATTCTTCTGCTGTCCTCCTTGCCAGCTCCTCCTCTTCGTTTTTTCCCTACTCACCCTAGCTGGCTTGTCTGTCTAGTGTTCTGCCTAGAATTAATACCCCACAGCTGTCACTACACTGTCTCATAAGCTGCTGATTCCCAAATGGCCAATGGCTACCCTACTCATATACCCATTCACTTGTCTACCATTTCTTCTTGGGCATCCATAAGTATCTAAGCACTGTCCTAGAGTGTAGTCTATCATACCCTTTCCTTTGTTCCCTCCTCTAAGGCTTCTCTCTCCTCCACAGCTCAGTAAGGGTTTTTTCATTAGATTATCCCATCACCATACACATTTGCCACTAGTGCGTCTCCATAATACTGCAGTGCACATTCCTTTCTCAATCCTCTCTCTACACATGAGCCAGAAGAACAAGCTTTGATGTAAAGACTGCAGCTCAAGGCTGGCAGAGTGGCTCAAATGATAGACTACCTGCCTAGCAAGTATTCAAACCCCAACACTGAAGACAAAAAAATAATAATAATAATCAGGCTCTGATGCTGGCAGAATTGCTTGAGTATAGAGTGCATGCTTAGTAGTGCAAAGCCTTCAGTTCAACCCCTAATACTAGAGATAGCCAGGTTTCTATTCAAGTTGCACACCTGCTTAAGATAATCCCTGCTTGGCCTCTGTCTTCTCTCAAGAGTCACATTCAAAGCCAAGAACTGGTGGCTTAGACCTGTAATCCTAGCCACTCAGGAGGCTGAGACCTGAGGATCACATTTTGAAGTCATCCAGGATAGAAAAGTTCGTAAGACTCATCTACAATTAGCCAGTAAAAAGCTGGAAGTGGAGTTGCAACTTTAGTGGTAGAGCTTTTTCCACCTTGAGCAAAAAGTCAATTTAGAGTTAGAGGCCTGAGTTCAAGCGCCATTACTGTGATTTTTTTTGGGGGGGGGGGGAGTCAGTGGTAGGCTTGAACTCTGGGCCTGGGCGCTGTCCCTCAGCTCTTCAGCTCAAGGCGAGCGCTCTACCACTTGAGCCACAGCACCTCTTCTGGTTTTCTGGTGGTAAAGTGGAGATAAGAGTTTCATAAACTTTCCTTGCCCCAGCTGGCTTTGAATGGTGATTCAGATCTCAGCCTCTTGAGTAGCTAGGATTATAGGCGTAAGCTACTGGTGCTGGTGATTTTTTTTAAAGTCATCTTCCAAAGCACTGTCTCCTACCAGTTCCCACACAAGCCAATGCCTCCCGTTCCCCAATATGGCCTTCTCTGGTAAAAAATTTCTTGGTCAGTCATGGGGCTTGAACTCAGGGCCTGGGCTCTGTCCCTGAGCTCTTTTGCTCAAGGCTAGTGCTCTAGTGCACCACTTCTGGTTTTCTGGTGGTTAACTGGAGACAAGAGTTTCATAGACATTCCTGTCTGGGCTGGCTTCGTACCATGATCCTCAGATCTCAGCCCCCTGAGTAGCTGGAGTTATGGGCATGAGCCACCGGCCTGGCTTATACAGACCTTCTTGAGCAGTTTTCTAATTATTCATCATTGCTGCACATCTCCAATTTCATAAAGAGGGGCAAGCTCACCATTACTCACACCTATGTTCTAGGCTCTTCTCCAAATCCTGGGCACATGGAAGGGTCCCACAATATGACAAATCAATTAATTAAGTGAGCAACGGCAACCCTTCCCTTTTTCAATGCCACCGGGCAATGTCAGAATCATACAGCAAGCAGGTGGCGCTCAGCTCACAGTCCATCGCCACACAGATTCAGTCTATGAAGAGCTAAACCTCGGTACCAGATCATTCGGCATCCGTCATGACTTGAATTGTTTGGTACCAAATCTAGTTGACTTCCAAAGATTACCCTCAGAAGCAAGAAAGAAAATGTTAAGTCCAAGCCATTCTATATTCCTTGATCCATGAAATAGACCTACTTTTTCAGTAGCTTCCTCTCATCATGCAAAAATCTGCAGATTTCAAGAGGCCAAATATAATAGAGAAAATTCAAGGAAGATCACAAAACACAATCAAGGAATTGCAAACAAGCTGTGTAAACACAGGCTAGGGGGACATTCCCAGCAGACTCAGGGCTGCTAAAGCATGACATGCAGATGTAATTAAAAAGCAGTTTGCAGGAAAGATGTTACAAACCAGACCTCAATTTCCTCATCTCTGAAATGGGAGCTGTAATGATGGCTCTCAAGAGGATGCTACAGAAATACAGTACAATACAGGATTCGGATGTGCTTTGGAAGAAGCCTGGCACCCTGGGAGTTGGTCAGTCTGGCCTCCAGTGGGTCACTGAAGTCTGTTCTCAGACCACGCTGGCTCACAGACAACATTCACACACATACAAGCCCACCTACTCTGTGCCCTACAGAGCAAACAATGGATGCAAAAGACCCAGTTTTCCTTCTAAAAACATTGTGGACTTCCCCCAAGCCCCAAGCAGAGCAGTGCAGCTCCTGTGGACAAGTACACTCTTCAGTTTTCCGTGATCCTAAGAAAACACAGAATACCCATTTGATTTCCTGTGAGATTCCAGAAGACCAAAGGATGAGCCACTATTGATATTGCTTCCCTGAACTTTCTCTGGAGCAGTGGTTCCCATGAGGGGGTGGGGGAGAGAGGGGGAGAGACTATTATGTCCCAGGGGACATATGTCAAAATCTAAAAACATTTTGGATTGTAACAAGGATAGGAAGGTGTTTCTGTCCAGTTTAGGGCATATTATGCCCAGTAAGTTCAAGCCACTGGAGCAGCACTCAAGACTGGCAAGAGGTACCTCGAACAGAGGAATTCTTTCACTCGGATGAGAATGTGAACCAAAGAGGCACTTAAAAGAGAATAGGGACATCATGATTCAAAGCCAGCCTGGGCAGGAAAGTCCATGAGACTTTTATCTCCAATTAACCACCAAAAAACCGGAAGTGGAGCTGTGGCTCAAGTGGTAGAGTACTTGACTTGAGCTGAAGAGCTCAGGGATGGTGCCCAGGCCAAGAGTTCAAGCCTCATGACAAGGGGCGGGGAGGGGGGGGAAGAAGAGGGAGGGAGGGAAGAAGGAAGGGAGAGAGAGAGAGAGAGAGAGAGAGAAAGAGAGAGAGGGAGGGGAGGAAGAAGGGAGAGAGAGAGGAGGGCAGAAAACACTGAGAGATTCTCTGAGTATAAAGCATGGAACATCTTGAAAAAACTCAAATGCTGTCACCTAAAGCCTAAATGTACTCTTGGGTTGCTGAGCAGGCACAGTAATAAATATTGTCCAGCCCTGGTGTCCACAACACTATCGCTCTCAGTGAGGACTGGAAAAGCAAGAAAGACCAACCATGTAGGTGCCAGGTCCTAACTCCCTGAAGGCCAACACCATTTCCAGAACCCAGGCCTGAGCTGTGAGGGAGAGGCTAATCATGGCAACCAAAGCTAGCAGAAAAAGGAATGGAGCCCGGGGTGTAGGGGGTCATCATTAGAAATAAACAACAGTAAAATCTTCAGTGGCTTTGATCCTCCTGGAGGATGAGGGTAAAGACACCTTCTGATTCTACCCTATTAGCGAGAAAAAAAAATTCATCTCTGCTTCCCAACAGCTTCAGAACATTGGACATTGTAAACATTCATCTCTTAGTTCTGATGTAGTAAGTGCAAAGGCCAGAGAAGATGTAGACAGAGGAAGCAGAATGAAGAACAAAGAAGAATCCTCTGAACACTTCAAAATGAAAAGTTTTAAAACAACAAAAGGAAAACAAGACAAAAAAAAATCCTGCTGGGTGCTGGTGGTTCACACCTGTAATCCTAGCCACTCAGGAGGCTGAGCTCTGAGGATCACAGTTCAAAGTCAGGACAGGAAAGTCAGTGAGACTCTTTATCTCCAACGAACCACCAGAAAAAATGGAAGTGGTGCTGTGGTTCAAGTGGTAGAGGATAAGCCTTAAGCTGAAGAGCTGAGGGACAGTACCCAGGCCCAGAGTTCAAGTCCCATGACTGACTTCTCAAATTACTACTGCAGAAGTATGTGCATGGCAAACTAAGTCTAGGGAAAAGGAGTAGCTTTTTAGAGACTGACCAGTCACCACATGCACATCATACATTCAGTAGATGGGGTATGTAGTGAAGATGGACAGAAAAGGTAATAACCCTCAATATTCTAAATTAACAGAGTTCTACTTCGTGGCGTAAAAGATCCTTTGTCACATTCACATCTCAGATGGGTCCACAGACTTCTTGTTTCACAGGTCAGAACTCTTAGTGAGAAAATGAAGGCATAATCATCTCTCAACTCAGATGACACTCATCTCATCAGCTCAACACATCCTTGCAAGACAAAGGTCTTTCTTTTGACTGTAACGTTGACAGCTTCAACACACTAACAGTAAGAATAAGAAAAGTCAGCACCACTGGTTTTAAAGGTGTGGAAAGATGAAACAATTCATCCATTCTCTCCTTCAAGCAGAGTTAAGTCAGCCTTCTGTTGTAAAGCTTATTTAGAGAGGTAAGAAATATGGATTATCTTCCTATCACCCAATGACATACTTTCAGTCAAGAGTGTCACTGAGAGCACAATTAAAGCGGTGTGTCAAAGCCCCCACCAGGAGCTTCAGCACTGACAGCCAAGGATAACTTACCATATTTGGCACATTGGTGACTGAAGTATTCTTGATATCTGTAGGGAAGGCAGGCAAACTATTAACCAGGCTTTGTTTGCTGGGTAACTGAGGGTTCACTCCAGTGGCTCCCATTTGCTGCCCTCCAGTTTGACTAAAGGGTTGTCCAAATGGACTTGTGTTACCAGTCATTCCCATCTGAAAGAAAAACAGCAAAGATTAGCTGACATGACACCATCTTATTATATAAAAGGGCCTCAGAAATGCTCACATGATCCACTGACATAAAAACAATTATGTTTTGTGGACCCCTCTTCAGTGATAAAGCTTACAATCCGCTCACAGTCAGAACTGTGAGAAGACAAGGTGGGCAGCAGGCTAGTAACTGTTCTACATGCTAGACGCCATCCCAGAAGCCGCAGTGCTCCTCCTACCCCCAGCCACGTTCCCTGCCCCAGGTCCTCGTACCCAAAAAGGTCCTTCCAGAAACACTGACCACAGGGAACTCCTTCAACTTAATCCTCAATAACTGCAGAAATGCTTTGTTTCTTTCAAGTTCTCCATCAGATCTGAACAAGTTTCCATTAGTTCCAAACATACAGTAAGAATACTGGCATTGAATAACTTTTCTCTCCGGGATTTGCTTTGAATAGCTTAGCAAGGCAGGTAGTTGTGGTGAAATGAAGGGGGACTGTTAGCATGCTGGTAATTACCAACCACACAACAGTTAAGTATTCAGTGAATGTATAACCTTTAATATTACACATACCATATTAATATTATACTATTAGAATATTAGAAATTCCCTTTAATAAAGCTTGTCTTTATTAAAGTGGAGGACTGGGATAGTGGTTCATGCCTGTAATCTTAGCTATACAGGAGGCTGAGATTTGAGATCACAGTTCAAAGCCAGCCCAGGCAGGAAAGTCTATGAGACTCTTATCTCCAATTAGCCACCAAAGAGCCAGAACTGGAGATGTGGCTCAAGTGATAGAGCACTAACTTACGCAGAAAAGCTCAGAGTGAGTGCCTAGGCCCTGAGTTCAAGGCCCAGGACACACACACACACAGACACACCCCCCCCCAAAGTAAAGTGAAATAAAATATACGGTAAAGAGAAATTTCGGAAAGCGAAACCCTAGGCTCTACTCCACAAGGGCAGCCACAGAGCCATCCCCGTTTCCTTAGGTCCTCTCAGTTACAACCTCAAGTACATGTGTGAGAATCCCCAATGCAATGTCCTTATGTTTATCTGTCTCCTTTGGGGAGGAAAAAAGAGAAACTAAAGGTCTGAGTGCCTACCTGTATTTTTCCCCCCAAAGTTGAAATACTCAACTGGTTGCCTTTACATTTCTGGTATCTTGTTCAATTTGATGTTTATCTGGAAGAAGAATTCTGGACAGGGAAAACCTCCAGAGCTGAGTTTCCATTCCAGATATCACCATGGACCAAGAATACAGCTCAGTGTGAGAATGTTTACCTAGCTTGTATAAGGCCCTGGGTTCAATTTCCAGCACTGCATGTATGTGCATGCACATACCAAGATCTACATAAGTAAGCAGGCCCTCCGTTAGCAACTGCCACACCAGGGTGCCTACTCTGAGTAACTTACATCCTTGCCATAGACTCAATCATCTCTCCTGAAAGGTGAATGTATTCAGTGAGATAGATAAAATGATTCTGTCAGCTCTAAAAGTCTAGGCTGTAAAGAAATCAATGTGTAATGAACTAAACTCCATTTCTGCTGAAATGCCAGTATAAAAACAAAACTAAAGTAGCATAATCAGAAAGGTCTTCCCCGCTGCATTCTCATACACGTGGCATCTTCACAGATAAGGCTTTCCACTTTTCTAAAAGTAAGCCCATTCCAGCCATCACTTTTACCCTGTGTGCTCTGCATGAGTTTAAACTGACCACAAGGGGCTGGGAAGGTGGCTCAGCGGTAGAGCGCTTGCCTTGCATGCATGAGGCCCTGGGTTCGATTCCTCAGCACCACATAAGCAAAAAGAAAAAAGCCGGAAGTGGCGCTGTGGCTTAAGTGGTAGAGCGCTAGCCTTGAGCTGAAGAGCTGAGGGACAGCGCCCAGGCCCAGAGTTCAGGCCCCACAACTGGACCAAAAAACAAAAACAAATAAACTGACCACAAGCCTTCATTAAACCCATGAATGAGATTCAATTTTTGTGGTTAGGAGATTTTTAATCAAGGCAAAAGGTAACTGAGTAAATATGATTGCATTTCTGATTCCCAACTTAGTTCCTTGAATTGTAATTTAAAAACCAACAACTCAAAAGGGGTTAGGATATAGCTCAAGTGGTAGAGTACCTGCTTAAAAAGTACAGGATCCAGGGCTGGGAATATGGCTTAGTGGTAGAGTGCTTGCCTAGCATGCATGAAACCCTGAGTTTGATTCCTCAGTACCACATACACAGAAAAAACCACAAGTGGTGCTGCGGCTCAAGTGGTAGAGTGCTAGCCTTAAGCACAAGAAGCTCAGGGACAGTGCCCAGGCCCTGACTTCAAGCCCCAGAATGACCCCCCCCCCAAAAAAAAGAGCCAGGTACCTGTGGCTCAAACCTATTATCCCACCTACTCAGAGATCAAGATCATTGTTTGAGTCTAGGCCAGGCAAAAAGGTCCCAAGACCCCATCTCAAATACCAGCTGAGTATGGGAGCGTGTATCTGTCACCCCAGATGCTTGGAAATATACACAGGAGGACTGTACCATAAACATGCAACACAATCTCAAAAGTACCTAAAGCAAAATGGGAAGCTGGGGATGTGGCTAGTTAAAATGAGGCCAAAGAGGCCCACATAGGCCACCAAAGGACCACCATCACCCATATCCAGGGAGGCCAAACGGTCTCTTGGAGACTGGGTAGAACTCACGGGCCACACTCTAGCCCTCAGCTATAGTTTTTATGTTAAGTATTTGTTTCCATAATTTACCTTTTTTTTTTTTTCCCCAGGTCCCAGTACTTGAACTCAGCTTGGGTGCTGTCCCTGAGATCTGTTTGCTCAAAGCTAGTGCTCTACCACTTAAGCCACAGTGGTACTTCCTGCTTAATTAGAGATAAGAGTCTCACAGACTTTACTGCCTGGGTTGGCTTTGAACCACAGTCCTCAGATCTCAGCATCCTGAGTAGCTAGGATTACAGGTGTGAGCCCTAGTTCTCCGCTATTAGTTTACATTTCTGAGCATTAATTCTTTATCTATTCTCCATGGATCAAATTCAGCACCTGCAGTCTGTAAGTCTATGTGAATACACATATTTTATAGTACCATGCTCAAAATGAAACAGTGAAATCAAGATTTCTAACTTTAATGCATAAAAACCTACTTTGGGGGCTGGGAAGGTGGCTCAGTGGTAGAGTGATTGCCTAGCATGCATGAAGCCCTGGGTTTGATTCTTCCGCACCACATACACAGAAAAAGACAGAAGTGGTGTTGTGGATCAAGTGGTAGAATGCTAACCTTGAGCAAAAGAAGCTCAGGGACAGTAACTAGGCCCTGAGTTCAAGCCCCAGAACTGGCAAAAAAAAAAAAAAAACCAAAAAACAAAAAAACCCCAACAAACCTACTTAGTTCTTTCAATTTCCCACGTTTCTTGATAGTAATCTAGTAAATGTGGATATCAGGATTTTTGAAGGATGCTAGAAAATGAACCTCCAAGTAATCTTCTCAGTAAAATTCTAAAAGCAGAACAGATATGAAATAGGAACTGTTTAGTGATGATCAAATTTATTTAGGAGCAAATTAAAATCTATGGAATTGCTGATAATCGACCTCATTCACTAACAGTCCATATGTTAAAATGTGCTCTTATTCTGTCCTTATTAGCTACTCTTTTAAGCATTTAAGTCAAGTTCAATCTCAGAAAATAGAAGTTACTACATCAAAAACCAAAAAAGAGCTAGGTGCTGGTGGCTTACACCTGTAATCCCAGCTACTCAGGAGGCTGAGATCTGGGGGATCACATTCAAAGCCAGGCAAGCAGAAAAGGTTGAGACTCCATCTCCAAAGAACCAGCAAAATGGCAGAATGGAGACATGGCTATATTGGCAGGGCGCCAACCATGAGCAACAAAACCCAGCAAGAGTAGAAATCTCTGCATACAAGCCCCATTACTATGCAACACACAGTATAAAGGATAATAAAAAAAGGAGACACATGGGCTGGGAAGGTGGCTCAGTGGTAGAGTGTTTGCCTTGAGCTGAAGAGCTGAGGGACAGCCCCCAGACCCAGAGTTCAGGCCCCACGACTGAACCCCCGACCCCCCAAAAAAAGGAGACTCAGCGAGCACTGGTAGCTCACACCTGTAATCCTAGTTTCTTTGGAGGCTGAGAACTGAGGATCACAGTTCAAAGCCAGCCCCAGTGGCTCACGCCATTAAGCCTAGTTATTAAGGAGGCTGAGATCTGAGGATCTCGGTTCAAAGCTAGCCCAGGCAGGAAAGTCCATGAGCCTCTTATCTCCAATTAACCACCAGAAAATCAGAAGTGCATTGTGGCTTAAGTGGTAGAGCGCTAGTCTTGAACAGAAGAGCTGAGGGACAGTGCCTAGGTGCAGAGTTCAAGCACCATGACTGACAAGATGGGCGGGGGAGGGGGGGAACTCTCCCCAAATTAAATGCATTAAATAATGCCTTAAAGCTCTACTAGGTTTTCCCATGAAAAAGCATTGTAATCAAGTTTGTCAATCAGTCTTTCAAAAACCTTCCTCCCTCTTTTGTCCTCTCCCTTTCTGTGTCTGCTGTGTCTCTCTTCATTGGGAGAATGAAGAAAGTAAGTTCCTATGATTAAAGAAGGAACACAGTGGAGCTGGGAAGGTGGCTCAGTGGTAGAGCACATGCCTTGCATGCATGAGGCCCTGGGTTCGATTCCTCAGCACCACATAAGCAAAAAAGAAAAAAGCCGGAAGTGGTGCTGTGGCTCAAGTAGTAGAGTGCTAGCCTTGAGCTGAAGACATGAGGGACAGCGCCCAGGCCCAGAGTTCATTCAGGTCCCATGACTGGACCCAAAAAAAAAAAAAAAGAAGAAGGAACACAGTAAATAGGGACACACTACATAAGGAGAGAAATTCAAGCTCTAGACTTGAGTCTAGCCACCCTCAGGGACAGAGGTTCAGTACCGCTCTTAGTAAGGCCTAAGTATTAACCTTGTAGGCTGAGGGAGGTCCATACCAGCACCCCTGATAGGA